TTTGTGCAGCCCCATCTTATTCTATTCTGCTGACTTTTTCATATTTTTATAATTAAAGAAAAATCTCCGGGCCTATCACTCTGACTTCAACAATGTTATCCAGTGATAAATGGGATTTTAGAATTATAAAGACCGAATGATGACTATAAGGTACTCATTCAGGGTGTAATTTTAAACACCTAAAACATCCTCCGGGGAAAGTGTAGCACAGGGATGAATATCACAGACTCTGAAGCTGCACTGACTATGTTGAAATCCCAGCTTTGCCACTTCCTATCTAGGTGACCTTGGGCAGCAGAAAAAACGTCTCTGTGCCTCGGTTTCATCATGGTTAGAATAGGGTACCAATAGTGACTACCTTTAGGTGACTGTCTTATTACAAGTACCTAAAACACTTCCTGGCACCTGGTAAAGTTTTGATAAATGACAGCTGTTATCAATGTTCTTGAACGTTTCGCTATGAACAATGCATCAGAAGAAATCATTTGGGTCTTTGTAATTTTCTAAGGATTATAGACACAGTCCAAGATAAAAAGAATATAATACCTCTAATCCATGGACCCGTCTATGGGCATGAGGTAAGAGCATATGTCATAGGAATTATCCATTTTATGATATGTGAATTGTAGTATTACCTGTGAGGGAACGTATTCTGATTAGAAGCCAGCAGAATGATAGGGAAAAAGTTGGATCCATGCACTTTAGGAAGACCTAAATAGTGGAAAATGAAAGAAGGATGAAATGAGGAAGGAGAAACTAATTTAAGAAAGTAATATCCTCAAGTAATAAGAATGTTAATGTTGTAATTAAGTGAGATAAGTATTCTTTAAAACATCTTCAGAAAGGTTTCCTTTAGTGAGGAAGTGCTGGAGGGCAAATACCTTGAAATGTCCCAGGTTTACTCAGGAGGCCCCTTGAGAAGCAATAACAAATACATATATTATACATCTCAGTAAAGAAAATGCAAAAAGAAAAAAAAATTGATTCCTCAGAGTCCCTATAACAGATGATAAGTACAAAGTTAAACAAGAGAAAGGAATTGTACAACTATAGATACAAACCCAAACTCTTATTCACTGCTGAAGAAATTACTGGATTACTAAACCTCAGATGGAGAAGCCAAAACCATCCACACTGATTTGGCAGGGGTAGGAAGACTGAGCAGAAAAAGCTGAACTTCCTGTGGGAGCCAGCTGTGATGAACACTCTACATGCCTCACTCACATCGCTGCTCCCGTTTATTCAGGCATCTTTCATCGATGATGCTACAGACTGATAAAGGCACACTCACTGAAGCACATAAAGGTATAAGGTAAGCTCTATCCAAATTTTCCCGCTTTTACTTTTTGCAGAAACTGTCAGTGCCCTTATTCTTATTAGTTGTCAGTGCTGGGTTTCACCAGGATAAATCTTCTATTAGCCAGTGCAATTATTTAGATATAAAAATTAGGTAAATAAATTATTCTCAGTCACTGAAGTCATCATTGATTCTGTATTATAAAAACTGAAAGACACTGTTACTGGGTTTTCAACTTAAACCACTAAATTAATAATTATCTATTTAAAAAACATCATTTAACATAGCTTCTTAAAGTATGGCTTTTTAAAAGGACAAATTAATATTTCATAGAAAGAAAAATGCCCCATAGTACTTTAAAATTACAGTTTATGATTCCTTAACTGTAGCTCCAGCATCTATGATTGCCCCTTGTGCATTTTAAGTGATCAACAAATATTTGACTATTAAAGATGTTCTTAACTTCATTATTACTCTAAGCTACTGAAAACTATTAATTGGACTCA